TTTTTTTGTGCGAAAACGACAATTGCGCTACACACGTTACATATCGCCGCCAACATCGGAGCGAGAACAATAATGGCGAGGCCATCAATCACTGTTAGCACTAAGCTGATGAGCGTCTAAAGTGTTCCCTATGGGAAATTTTGATGTATTGAAGTTGTTTGCAGCTTCACGGGCAAATGCAATTTAACCTCCTGCTGCTTGCCTGTTGTGAAAAAATGGACGGACGGCAGACTCACATGGGCGGGTCGCTGTCATCAAACTGCATTTTTTCCTGCTCTTTCCCTGCCAAGCCCTCCGGAACATTTTTTAATTCAGCTGGCCAAGCCATTTTCCCCATTGATTTGATTTTCAACTGCTGCGTTGCTAGCGTTTGTAAAAGACCCCCCAAACTATATATTTTCTAAAAGCGCAGGCCCGGTAGAATAAAAAGATGGTGATACTAAATTTGTAGGCACTGCGATAATTGCGCAAATGTTTCTCAAATAATAAAGCGATAAAAATACACAATTCAATTAATAAAGCCTTAAAATCAGTACCAGTGCACAAAAAAATTATTTTCTGACTAAATCTCAAAGATAAAACTGTATTGAGTTAATAAATAACAAATATTTGCAAATTTGAAATTGCGTGTTTTTGCGAAAAGGTAAAAAAAAATGAAGGTACGCAAAACTGTAAATAAGCATCTTATGTTAAAAATAGTTTTTACAGTGTTGGTGTTTGTGATAAAATGATACAGGCGTATATTTAATTACAACACAAGGTATCACAACGCATGGCAATGCGTCACAAAGCTTTGCCATGCACTGCCACGGTTAATGTTTTTTTTAAAGAAAAAAAATAAAGAAAAAAATCATGCACTGCGATGCGTTCTAAAGGATGTGACACACTGCAGGCGAAGCGAAAAAACTGCAAACTTCCACTTCGCACCGAACCTTGTCTACACTGTAGTTTGTAGCTGTAGGAAGGAAATGGAAATAAATTAAATATTATTTAATTATTATAAATAAAAATAATAATTAAATATATATAATATATAATCAGAACTGGCTGGTCGCGTGTTGCCGCTTTGTGATGCCTTCATTGCATCGCGCGCTGTGATTGGCTGGAGATGAACGGTTTCATCTCACGACGCTGCGCTACGTACGCTGTCGCCGGGCAGAGCGGGGGATCGGAACTCACTAGACACACTGCAGGAGAAGGACCGCGAGTCGTCGCTCGCCTGTGCGCCTCTTCGCCTGCCGTGTGTCACGGCCTTAACGCACTGCAGCGCATGTGCATGGGGGGGTTGTGCTTTATGTTTTTTACATTTTAACTTGTTTTTACATTTTTTATTTATTTTGTAATCATTTTTTTTTTTTACTGTTGGGGGGCTGCGGTGAAATATCTGGGGGTCTAAACAGACCCCTAACATTTCCCTTTTGAAATAGAAAAAGAAATTGAGAACATAGAGGCCTCAATTTTTTTTTCATCAGCCCCAGCACTCAATGAATGGGAAGCACTCAGTACAGAGGCTTCCCATTCATTCAGAAACTGATAGTAAAATATTTTTTACTATCACCACTTTATGAATGGGGAGGAGCCTCTATAGTGAGTGCTACTCCCCATTCATAAATTCTTGAATGAACAGAAAGTGATGTAGATCGCAGCCTGTTCATTCATAACTGGGGACACATAGTACTATGTGTCCCCAGTTATTTACAAGCACCGGAGTGATCAG